GGAGGCGCAGAGCAGCCAGAGCCAAGTTCCCAGGGTTCTGAGGAGAGTGCTTGACAGGAGCCCGGACTGCAAAGAAGGAAGAGGAAGTGGCCACGGGGCGCTCTTCCAATCCCTCTGCACGGACACCCTACTGCAGCCATCATACCCCTGGGGGAACGGGGAGGCTGACCAGACAGGAGAAGACCCAGCCTTGGGGGTAGCTGCAGCCTGTATCTCCAACCCCCAGTCTCTTCCCCTGCCACCCCTGCCAGGGGCACCCATAACAATAACACACCTGCGACAACCCGTCAGTGCCCCTGAGGCACCCGGGGCCTGTGGCCTGCCGCTGCTGGGGCCAGGCACGCCTCTCCTCCCTACAACTCCAGAGCCGGTGAAGGCAGGCCTAAGTGGCCCCTCAGGGTCAGACTCATCCCCCCAACACCCCCTCCCTGACAGCAGTGGTGCCGTCTCCGCAGCAGAAGTGTACTGAACCTTGCCGGGGGTGCGGCTAAACCCGCCCTCCTAGCCCATCTGGCCCCACCCTGGCCTGGCCCCTGCCCTGCTCCAGGAGATTGGAGCCCCGTCTTGAGCACATACAGCTGCGAAAAGGCCATGTACAATTTAAAGAATGTTGTCAAGTAGGGAGGTTTGACAGTTACTCCCGCTTCAGCCTTGCCACCCCCCTAGTACCCCCCTAGCACGACCCCCTCCCCCTAGCCAGAGCCTCCAGGAACGACCACCGCTACAGGGCTGCTGGCCAGAGCCCACCCCTCTGAGGCCTGTGGAACCCTCTGCAAAGCTTCCATAGCTACAGTCCCAGGAAACAATCATGCCCTCCTCCCCTAATCAGCACCTGCTACCTGCGAGGGTACCCGTGGGCTTAAAAATAACAATCCCTTCCCGTTTAGACATCACTTACTTGATGAAACATTTCTAGGTTTATTAGCTCAGAACCTCCTCATGACAACCCAGTGAGGTAGGCGGAGAAGAGATTACAATTCCCATGGTATGCGTATGCAGAAATGAAACTCAGAAAGGAAAAGTGTCAAGCACAGTGGTTCCCAAGGTGCAGCACACACCCCATGGGGGGTGGGGATGGGGCAGAAATTTGATTTTAAGTGGAGACAATTCCAGAATGAGTTAACAGTGATTTTTTTGCATTTCTTATGGTTCGAAGGGGCCTCATCTGCAGCATATCCTATGTAATGAAAGGCTAATATGTAAATGACTGAATGGTGGAATGACCGCTCACTATGCTGTGCGCTGACCATCAGGGGGCAGACACTCAACGCAGGAGCTGCCCTCTGCTGGTCAGTGTGCTCCCACAGGGGAGAACCGCTCAACCGGAAGCCAAGCTCACAGCTGGCGAGCACAGCAGCAGTGGTGGGAGCCTCTCCCGCCTCCGTGGCAATGCTAAGGATGTCCGACTGATGGCTTAGGCCCACTAAGCCGTCAGTCGGACATCCCCCCATGGCTCCCAGACTGTGAGAGGGCACAGGCCACACTGAGGGACCCCCCACCCCCCAGTGCACGAGTTTCGTGCCCTGGGCCTCTAGTTTATATATAAAAGCCTAAGCGATTGGTAGACCGCTCGACCAGTCAACTAGTAGCTATGATGTACACTGACCACCAGGGGGCAGACGCTCAATGCATGAGCTGCCCCCTGGTGGGAAGTGCACTCCCACAGCGGGAGTGCCGCTCAGTTGACCGACGGGTTCCAGACTCCAGGCTCACGGCTGGCGAGCACAGGAGCACTGCGGCACCTGGCCTGGTCTCAGGCTCCTCCTTGGCTGCCTGCCGCTTAGCACACTACTACATCCCCCGAGGGGTCCTGGATTGTGAGAGGGCGCAGGACAGGCTGAGGGACCCATCGGTGTACAAATTCGTGCACCAGGCCTCTAGTATTCTTATAAAGAACATGCATTATGCTTTAGTGACTCAGGTTTTCTTCCAATGAAAGTTTTCTAGTTCTTTTAGCACCTGTACTCCATGTCATTGAAGTAGCTTGCTTTATTGAACTCTTTGTCCAGAAAGAGTGCTTCATGGTGCATATTCTTTTAAACTATTTAATCAATTCGGAATTATCTCTCTTGGAAAATTAGTTTGAGATCATTGGAGATGTGAATGGTTGTTTCCAAACCTCTGCTCTTAGTCTTACTGTTTTTCTTTCCCAGGGGAAAAATAACTAAATCTCTGTGCATGAGATTTTTAATCTATATGCAATGCAGGAGAAGTCAAATATGTAAGCAGTTTCATCCTAGCTATTAGTGAAGGGCATAGGAAAATTATGGATCTAACGAAGGCTACTGTGTACTGGCTGTCCCCTGAACTCACAAATTAATCATATTTGACAACTGACTACAAAATGTAGATTACTTGGCAGATAGCACCTTTTGTTTCACATATTCTTCTGCATCTCTTTGAAGTACATGTTTATTTTTTATTTCATGAACTTGGTATTTTATATATACTCAATGGATCTATTGTACAAAGTTGCTTTAAATATTTGGTACTTATGTTTCCATTTAATTATCTGATAAGTTAGCACTTATGTTTCCATTTAATTATCTGATAAGTTAGCAAGTGAGTTGAACAACAATGAAGGACATATGATGTCAAGGACACTTATTTTGTTTGCAAATGAACATAATGCATCTATTTGAATGTTAATGTTTATATAGTCACACTTTTGCAGCTAGAAGGAAAGGAATATGGTATGTCCCTGTGCCATAATCAACAATATTTTAGATCATTCCAGAATGTAACTAATATATTAATTAATTGCAATGTAACAAAATAATTTTCAGTTAGCAAATTTTTTCAACATATAATCAATACTATATGTTCCACTTAAGATCAAACATCCATGCTTTTTTAAAATATATATTTTTATTGATATCCAAGAGGGAGAGATAGAAACATCAATGATGATAGAGAATCATTGATGGACTGCCTCCTGCATGCCCCACACTGGGGATTGAGCCCACAACCCAGGTGCATGCCTTGACTGGGAATCGAACTGTGACCTCCTGGCTCATAGGTTGATGCTCAACCACTAAAGCCATGCTGGCCGGGCAACCCTCCTTGCTTGTATTTACCAAGTGCTATATTGTAAAAATATCTAAGTTGAACAGAAATGTAGGACATTATTACAAAATTGGTAGATGTGCAGAATATTAGAATTGTTTGAAATAAATGTGGTATAAAATGAATCATGTGCATTGCTTAAGTAACAAAATAGAAGAAATTTTAAACAATGAAGTAATATTTATATAACAAGCAGGATTATAGTAATAGTCAAGAAAGGGAATACGCACTTCATAATACCTGTAATTTTGTATTGGTATTTGCTTATCAAGGGTGCAAGAGTGCTGTGTGCAGGAACATATAATATTATTATTTCCATACTGTGAAGTAGGAGACAGTTTTAGGTATGCAAATATAAATTGAAAGACTAGTGAAGCACTTTTGGCTATAATTGTTCTTCCATGTCTTATGAATAATCAATAGGAAACCAATAATCTGAGTTTGGTAATTATTCTCTAAACTTTTATTTTGAAGTATACTAGAGTATTCCAAATACTAATTTTAATCAGTCATTTTATGGAAGTAGTGATAAAAAAAGATGATTTTTAAAAATCTCAGAGTGAAGTATTTCTTTAAATAGAACATTGCATAAACAGCAAAGTCAGGAACTATTCTGGGTCTAAGGGCAAAATCAGCAAAATAGAACACCGTAAATAGTGTAGTGTTTGTAACTGTAGCCGATATGACACACATACAAGGCTCATATACATAGAGCTATATTTTAAAGTCTTCTGCAAAGATTATTTTACTTTAAGCCATTAGATGAAGAAATATAGCAATATATATTTACAAGGTGGAAATAATTTTATCATCAACACAAAGGAATAAATATACTTAAAAACTCCTCAATAACATTGGAGTGGAAGGCTTTATCTAAAATATGAGTGGCTCCTCTTCTCACTAATTCAGTTGCAAAAAAAAAAGTAATCCTATCTAATAAAGAGGGAATATGCTAATTGATCCTCATGCTGTTGCAAAGCTGGTGGAACCCACAGCCAATAAGGAGGGAATATGCTAATTGACTGTTCCACCCTCAAAGATGGCAGCAACCACAGTCACAAGATGGCGGTGCCCAGTCCCCTCAGCCCTGCCAAGGTGGCAGGAGTGTGGCAAGGCCGGACCCACTCCCAGGCAGGCCTGGCCTTGCCGCCCTCCTGCCTTCAGAGTCCCCCAGTCCCCTCAGCCCATTAGCCAGCCAGAGCCAGCCCGAGGCACAAGCAAGCCTCGGATGGTGGCTGTCCAGCTGCCCAGGGCTGCCCAAGGCTCAGGTAACCAGGGCCGGCCGAGGCTTGTGCTGCCGGCAGTGGCAGCAGCAGAAGTGTGATGAGGGCGTCACCTTCCCCTGATTGCTGGGTTGCCTCCTGCTTCTAGGGCTCCTGTGCTGTGAGGGGGACAGGCCTGGCTGAGGGAACACCCGCTTCAGTGCATGAATTTTCATGCACTGGGCCTCTAGTTTATCATAACACACCATTCTGAAGCCTAGGTAAAACTGTAGCATGGTGTACAAAGTTGTGTCTACCAAGTAACAGTCATTTTTTTTTTTAATCCTCACCCGAGGATTTTTTAAAATTGATTTTAGAGAGGGAGAGAGGGAGAAGAGAGAAGCATTTATGTGATAGAGAAACCTATTGGTTATCTCCTCTACATGCCCCCACTGAGGATTGAACCCACAATCTAGGCATGTGCTCTGACTGGGAATCAAAACCCACGACCTTTTGGATATGGGATGATGCTACAACCAAATGAGAGCCACCAGGCCAGGGCAGCAACAGCTATTTTTATTATTTATATCTATGATCTGGTCACCAGGGGATGTGCACATTAGCTTAAGTAATGAAACCACATTGGTACAGTAGCCATAATTGTAGTTACCACCTGGTTAAACCTATGTTAATCTACTTTAATTTCCTAAGAACCATTTGTCTTCTGCACAGGCCAAGCAGATGAACTGAATGGGGATGTGGTGGGAATCACATCTACAGCCTTCAATTTCTTGATGGTGGCACACATATCAGCAAACTTTCCAGGACTGTGATATTGCCTTAGTTTACTATTTTACCAGGTAAAGGAAGTTCTATTGGCTTCCATTTGGCCTTTGCCATGATAATAGCCCTCACTTTGCAGATCAGGGTGTCTATGTGGGGGTTCTGCCAGTTACTATGTCTATTCCAAGTATGCATTCAATAACGGGGTAATAACCACAAGATGGGTTTTGAGACCCATTGGACTCACTGTAAAACAGACCTGAGCTAAAACTCTATTGGTCATCTGACCTCCACAGCCCCTATTCTGATGGAACCCTACATTTTGGGTCTTCTGGAATTAGTATTAGTTCAAAGCCAGTGTTCAGAAGTCCTCAAAAATTTTTATTACTTCCTTTTCTCTAATGCACAGTTACTCTGGTGAAAGTCCATCTGTCCCTTTGAAGAAAGCTAGAAGAAAGATTAACAGCCTACATTTTTGGCAGGGTATTGGGATCCTTCTGTCAAGGGAACCTGGTCTCCCCTTCATTCAAGGGGTCCTAGGACTGACTGTAAACTGGCTCACTTTTAGTCATCGATTGAGGGGTCATGACTTTTGTTCATTTGACCTAGAACTTTTCTGCTTATTCAGATCAAGCAAACATTTACTAGGCTTCCTAACTATTTCACTTCTAAGAACACCACAATCAACTATTAATAAGTCTGTGTGAGTCAGACTGTTGTGCTCTTTGCTTTTACTCTGCCCGTTAGAGTAACTATGCCCACTTTGTCTTTGGCAGTGGAGTGCTGTCACTTGGCCTCTGCCACCCTGGGATGCAATTACTCCCATTACATTTCACTTTCCCAGTTCAGTGACCATTGCCCACTGTCAGGCCTGGATCACAGAGAAGAGAGATTGCTGAGCTCCTCAAGGATGATGAGACCCTTCCTCACAAATTCATTTCTCATCATAAAGGTATGTCTCCGGACTCCTCAATTGTGAGGGAGCAGATGATGGCAAATGACAAATCCACTCTAACATTCCAATCTCCCGAAGACTTTTAATCTTAATCCCTTCTTCTACTTTAAGTCAAGGCAGATCTGGAATTTTCAACTCACTGTGGGCCACCTTGTGATTCCCGTTTTAGCCAACCAAGCAACCAACCAGTCAGTCTTTTTCATCTCCCTGAACTGCAGCATTAACACAGAATCTCTGCGTGCTGAGCCCACCAATAAATCTGGCCTGACTCAATTTTGTGTTCCTTTCATTATTCCACATATTTAAAAGCCATACCCATGCATGTTCCCCAAATTTCTTTCTGAATAAATTAGAAAACTTGAGTGGTTCTTTTGGAATGTGGAGCACCTCTTCATGGGTCACATTTGTACCTCATCTTTAGGGGCTTGTGGCGACATTATCTTAGTTTTCAGTCTAGAAGCAAAGATGGGTGGTGGGGTGGGTCCTGAAAAGAACCAGCATTATCTTGCATGGCAACTACTTCAAGGGGGGTTATTCCAGTTTCCTTGGCCAATGCAGGGTTCACACCTCAGAAGGGGTGGAGAGGTCACTTCCATGGGTGGTGCAGAAGCTGTTTCCACTGTCAAAGAGATTTCATCAAAATTAGGGGCTCATCGTCCCCAGCTTCATCAATGTCTTCCCACATGTACACATCCCAGCTTTCAGGAACCCATTCCTTACCAATCAATATACTCAGTTGAACAGTAGTCACGCTGACAAACTGGGAGTTCAAGTTACATTTTGTATCAGCCACATGCAGGATGGATGAGATTATGAGTTTGATTTTTAGCAATCTCAGCCCTGCTGCTACGGAAGATAAGGGAAAGTTTCCTTCAGGCCTTTAATGCAGCACATAGACTGGAATCGAAATTCCGGAGCTCAACTGTTTCTTTTAGCACTTTGTTCAGTTACATTAGGAGCAACCAGACAATCTCATCCCATTGGTGACTTTGTAAAAAATATCCATAGGTAGTATATACACAGTCTCCCAGCTCCTTGCTTCGTATAAGTAGTTAAGAGTATCCAATGGTGATATTTTGCCTATATCTTTTGCCAGATTGCCCCATGGATTATCACTTCCCTATATTCTATTGGAAAGAGAATCATGAGCACCTTTTAATCTATTTAGTTTAGAGAGCCAAATCCAGAAACCTTCCTCCTCAGGGGAAGGTCAGTATTTTTATTCCATTCAGGTCTTTAGTTGACTGGATGAGGCCCATCCACATTGAGGGCAATCTGCTTTACTCATTTTACCAATTTAAATGTTTATCTCACATAAATACACAGGATAATGTTTGATCAAATATCTGGGCATTTCATGACCTAGTCAAGTTGACACACAAAATTAATCAGCACAGACAATCTGTATTAACAGTTTATAATAAATAATTCGAGGAGAACACAATTTATTTATAGGCATACATAAATATGATAGATTCCTATTGCTGTATAATAACGTCTAGTATTTTAGATCAACCCACATTAGTTGTCTCATAATTTCCTTGACCAGGAAGCTGTGCATATTTAAGCTGGGTCCTCCAGGTACTTGATTTTAAGGTTGAGATCAAGATATTGACTGGGCTGAGTTCTTGAGAAGCTTTGAGGAAGCATCCACTTCAAATCTCATTCCAACTCTTGGCAGAAATCATTGCCTTTTGGCTGTATGACTCAGAGTCCAGCTTCTTACTGTCTGTTAAATGCAGGTCACTCACAGGTCCTATAGTCCTAGTGCAGTTACCTGCCATTTGAACTTCTCACAAGCAGTTCACAGCATAGTAATTTATTCCTTCTTATCTTGTTTTTAAAATTATTCAGTGATAGCCCTGACTGGTTTGGCTCAGTGGATAGAGCGTCGGTCTGCGGACTGAGGGGTCCCAGGTTCGATTAAAGGCTATGTGGCCCTAAGATAAAGGAAAATCCACATAAGTGTTATAAATTTTGGAGTAGCACAAAGTTGTTAAATAAAACACAAGAAATGGTGATGTTATTATGGAGAGGAAGTCTAGATTGTAGCCATAAATATCTCAGTAATTTAAAAGTAAAGTAGAGGAAGGCTTACTGTAAATTTAGACTGACATGTGTTTGGTGAAATATGAGGATCTGATGCCACCTAAGGCTGGCTTCATGTGCATATGATCTGTGCAGTTACATAGGGCCTCACACTGGGTTTAATGCTCTGCTATCACCATTTTGAAAATTTTACTAATTTAGGAACAAGGCACCCCACATTGTTTTGTACTGAGCTCCATAAATTATGTGGCTGGTCCTGGTGCTGTTAAGCTGAGAGAAAAACAGGGATTTCTCACATGGGTAGATGTGAATGGATATTTAATAAGATAGGGATTAAAATAATGGTGTTTTGCTTGTTTTGACAACATGGAAGTCAACTACTGACTTAGCAAATATCTATGAGTAAAATTCTGAGAGTGAAGCCATTTACACTAATAAAAGAAAAAGATGCTAATTGACCATACCTTTGCTACACCCCAAGCCATGCCTACCAGCCAATCAGAGTAACTATATGCAAATTAACCCAACCAAGATGACAGCCGGCAGCCACGGAGGTGGAGCAAGCAGGAGGCTTGGTTCTCTGGGTGATGAAGGAAGCCAAGCTTCCCGCCTGCCCTGAGCTGGCTGTGCCTCCGCTCATGGCAACAAAGTTTCAATTATAGAAGACAAATAAATCCCAGATACCTGCTTCTAGCCAGGCTCCATGGGGAGCTTGGGTGGCTGGGGGCTGTGGCCAGCCTGCAAACAGCCATCAGCCCCTCACCCAGGATGGCCACACCCTCATGGGGTGAGGGTCCCCGCTGGGGGGCTTAGCCAGCCTGAAAATGGCCCTCAGCGCCTCACCCAGACTTGCCAGGCACCCCAGGGGGGAACCCCACCTTGAAGGGGCTGTGGCCAGCCTGCAAGCAGCCATCAGCCCCTCACCCAGGCTGGCCAGGCACTCCTGAGGGACACCCCCCCATCACAAATTTTGTGCACCAGTCCTCTTAGTACAGGGGTCCTCAAACTTTTTAAACAGGGGGCCAGTTCACTGTCCCTCAGACCATTGGAAGGCCGGACTATAGTTTAAAAAAAACTATGAACAAATTCCTATGCACACTGCACATATCTTATTTTGAAGTAAAAAAACAAAACGGGAACAAATACAATATTTATATTTGCATGTGGCCCGCAGGTCATAGTTTGAGGACCCCTGTCTTAGTATATATGTATTTCTCAGGCATGTTTTTTTTTAATATATTTTATTGATTTTTTACAGAGAGGAAGGGAGAGGAATAGAGAGTTAGAAACATCAATGAGAGAGAAACATCGACCAGCTGCCTATTGCACACCCCCTACTGTGGATGTGCCTGCAACCAAGGTACATGCCCCTGACCGGAATCGAACCTGGAACCTTTCAGTCCGCAGGCCGATGCTCTATCCACTGAGCCAAACCGGTTTGGCTCTCAGGCATGTTTGAATATAATGGGTAAGAATCTAGTAAGAAGCTGAAGATATAGTCAAATGGAAGTTAACAAAAAGATTGAGATTCATGAAAGAAGTCAAAGGAATGAGATTTAAAACATGTGTAGAAATATTGGCATTTCAGTGGAGAATCACTTTCCTTTGTTTTAACAACAGGGAAGATACAGACTTACCCAAATTCAGCTAGAATTTTATTTTATTTATTTTTTATTTTTATTTTTATTTTTTTAAAATATATTTTATTGATTTTTTTACAGAGAGGAAGGGAGAGGGATAGAGAGTCAGAAACATTGATGAGAGAGAAACATCGACCAGCTGCCTCCTGCACACCTCCTACTGGGGATGTGCCCGCAACCCATGTACATGCCCTTGACCAGAATCGAACCTGGGACCTTTCAGTTCGCAGGCCGACGCTCTATCCACTGAGCCAAACCGGTTTTGGCTCAGCTAGAATTTTAAATGAGGCCATGAGAAGATGGTG